TTGTTTTAAATTCTCAACAACAAAAAAAGATGTATAAATCCACTTTCATCATATTTTTTTGTTTTATTACAATTCTAATTATGGCTTTAAAAAAACAAACATTGTTGAGTGCGGGGAGCTAAAACAAAATCGGAGAATTTTGTAAAACCGTCCGTTTGACACTTTTTTATGTTCTTTTTGTTTTGTTTTTTGGGCGCGCAAATGTCCATGTTTTTTGTTTTGTTTTATTAATATCAGACAGTCAACTCTTTGTTCTTTATTTTGATTTTTACATCAGTGTTTGCAGGAAAATTTTAAATTTCACTAAAAGCTTTTATTTATCACCAATTATATGTGAAACATACATACATATAGACACGAACACTTTCACACATAATAATGGATCATTTATGATAGAAAGCTCATTTATGATAGAGAGCGTGAAAATGAGAACACACACACACATATATATATATATATATATATGTATTGTGTCAGCTCAGATTCTATATATTCATTATAAACTAGCAAATTAATTAGCCTCGTTTTTCTATGAATGCCACATAAATCACCCAACTAATATAGAAATGCCAAAGCTATCCTAACCATAGAAGCGGTTTGCCATATCAAAAAAAAATTCTTCCATTGAATAGATCTAATAAATCTGAAAAAATGTGATCCTTCATCTGACTTTATAGACTGGCGCTACAAAATCACTAACAAAAAGAAATACCAAATACCAAAATTCCCAACACTTGAACCAAATGCCAAAAAACACATCACTTGAACGAAATATCCAGAACTGAATCACTTGAACCAAATACCAGAATCAACATAACTTGAACCAAATATCAAAGACCATATCACTTGAACCAAATACCAGAATCAACATAACTTGAACCAAATATCAAAGACAATATCACTTGAACCAAATATCAAAAACTACACCACTTGAACCAAATATCAAAAACTACATCACTTGAACCAAATGCCAAAATCAGCATAACTTGAATTAAATATCAAAGACCATATCACTTGAACCAAATACCAAAATCAACATAACTTGAACCAAATATCAAAAACCATATCACTTGAACCAAATATCAAAATCAACACCACTTGAACTAAATGTCAAAACCTACGTCACATGAACAAGATACCAAAGTCCAGATAACTTCAACCAAATATGAAAACTACATTACTTCAACGCTTTCTAAAAGCAACAAGAATGGATATCACATATAAGCAGAAGGGGAAATAATGTCATTAAATTTACAGAATGTCTTAAACTAAAGAGTTGTAAGGAAACTCCGATTAGTATTAGAAAAAACGATAACAGTGGACTTGAGAAGAAAAATAGTTTTAAGAAAGTTTTTTTTTTTAAATTTCAACCCATAGTGACACTAAATGGCAATAAAAGTCATGCGTTTCCTTTATGGCAACGTCTACTTTTACCATCATCATATCTATTTAACCAAACGGCGATGACAAATGCTTGATGGTGAAATTATAAATTATATCGATCTCAGATAATTGTCGGTTATTTCCGATTACGAATATGTATAACGTATTTCAGGGTGCGGTATTCCATTATTCCTTTCTGGAATTGTTTATCATATTATAAATTATTAAGGACTTTAAGGTGGAACTTGGAATGAGATCTTCATCACGCGGAGAACATGTTGTCACGGTACGCCTCGGCACACTAACGATCTTTAATCAGGTGCTCTGAAATTGCAGACCCGGGTGACACAACTGACCTCTTCCAATGAACGCCGGAACATGCTGAGAAATTCTTCTGTCAAGAAGTTGCCCTGCTTAGAAAGTCAGCAACGCACTCGGATTTCAAAGAATTAATAATGAAGTTTGTATTGAGGACAGACAGCCTTCAACATCGACCAGGACAAGAACATTCCTCATGGGTCCACTGAAAAATAACATTCAATTTTTCGATGACATTTTGAAATACCGAGATTTGCTCAGCATGAATCGCACCAGTTTTAGCAATACAGGACAGTCTTATAAGGACAGGATATTTTTCAGGTCCAAAACGTTTAGAGCTACGATATTGTCAATGTTCATATTCATGATCGATTGCCCAAGTTTTTTTTTTATTTTGTTTAGCGGCATATCAACACCTCTATAGGTTATTTAATACCGAAATATTTTATGGCTTCAACAAAATATATTTTAAATGCAATTGTATGCCTACAGATAAAATGTATTGTTGTGTGGCACCATTTACGAGGCAGAGAAAGAAAGAGAAAGAAAGGAAGGCAGAAAGAAAGGCGAGACGAATCGTAGGTGATAAAACAGCCACACACATGGCCTAAGAGACAATGAAAATATTGATAAGTAACAAGTGAAAAAGTGTGTCATTACAATGACAGGGAATTTCTGAGTAAAAAAAAGAAAAGGAAAAGAAAGAAGGAACCAGATGTGTTTTGATAACGGCTATGTTATCTAGGTGCGTACACGAATGGCTGGACCACTGCCCAGGAAAAATTCAAGTGAAAATGCTATTTCGATAAGTGACGAGAAACAGGACACTAAAAAGGACTTTGGACAGATATGAAAATTAAATGCCACCCAGGCAGTGCAGCTGACTGAATTCTTTTCGACGAAACAACGTTGCCCTGCGATAATAAAATTATGTTATCAGACATATGTACCGAAGGAAAATGAATGGGAACCAGAAATGTTTTTATTTCTTCCTTGGAGGCGACAGACTGACTGAAAATTTTGGGGATATTTCTTTTCTGAACCCATGCTACGAAAACCAACCACCTCGATAAATTAGCGATAAACTACCTGACAAACACCACGTGTAAAACATATTGTCCGTTCGTGGCTAGAGAAATGATAACGGCGATTTGAAAAGAAGAAAAAGGAAAGAGAAGAGATAATTAATTATTTTTTTTTAGTTAAGCAAGGTATTTTTTCCCGAAACAAAGCCCCGGATTGTTCACGCCCAACTAAGACATCATTGGTCAGGTGGTGATCACGTGACGCACAAAGGAGGAGGAAAGATACCCGACCAAGACCTCATTGGCCGAGAGTGATCACGTGACGCACGAAGAAGGCTGTCAACGCCCCATCCAGAGTATAAGTATGAGAAGCTGCTACGAAGAAGTGGGGAGGGTAGTTCACGCCCCTCACAGGTATGGTGAGAAAGTGGGAGTGAGGAGGGGTTACCAAAAATGGAAAAGAGTGGAAAATCCCTAACCAGAAATAAAAGAGGTGGATATGTATTTAGAATTATCGAGAAACCCCCGACGCCAACAGAACCACCCCGGTTTTAGCCAGCGTCAATAAAAACGAGGCCCCAACAGGCAGAAATCAGTTCGGGCTCTGGCGGCAGAGATGAGTATGCAAAGTTCGGGCCCTGGCGGCAGAGTTGAGTTTCCAGAGTTGAAGCCGCCTCGAGATAGCTGACCAAGATTCACGCAAAATTCCGGACTCCTCTTCAACCCAAAAACAATTATTTTGAAGAGCGACTTAGAACCAGACCACCGAAATAAGTTTTTCGACTTTCGTCCAAAGACACACCGAAACACCAATTTCTTAGAGAGCAAACAACTTGAAGCGTTAAAACTTGCCTAGCGGAAACGACGTGTCACAATCCACAGAACGGGTCGGGAGATAGATGCAGTCCTATGTATCGAACAACTAGACATAAAGTTTGTTACCTTTTTCTTTGATACTTTGAACTTTTTGAGTTTTCATTTTATTTTATTTTATGCATATTTGTGTGTTATCACCCCCGTTGAACTCAGTTTGCATTACGGCCCCAACCACTGTTTGATCTCGTCTGTCTAAGATCAATTCACAACGTGGGTAGGCAGACTGGAGATCAATGCAGTTACCTTGGTAACCAGGCGTTGGAAGCGAGTTGGGAACGACGAGGCTGATATCAAATCTAACCAAATTCCCACCCGAATCACCAAGAGTTTAGAACGTCACATTTGGGTGCCGCGACCGATACCAAGCCAGTTGGTCTTCACAGGACGAGACAACACGACTGACGCGACAGGCGGACGTCACGTTTGGATCAGCGACACCCGAATGGAGCAGCGAGGAGCGAACAGCTGGCGCCGCGGCGAAGACGTCACAATTGGTGCTGTTTTTGGTCCGGGATAGGACCCTGGAACGGCCACGTCACAACTGGCGCCGTGGTAGATCAGGAGAGAACGTCACAGTTGGCGCTGCGACCGGTGGACGACGTCACAGTTGGTCATTTTGCTATAAAAAGTATTGTTGGGTATTTTACTATAAATATGTATTGTTGCTAAATTTTTATATAAAAATCTATCCATATTTTATTTGGATATTCACTATTTCTCGATAGCTGGGACCTTAACAGGTGCTACACCCCCTTGTCAGGGTGGATCAAGGAACGACATCTCCGTCTGAACTCTGAATTTTTTACAATTTTTTTCGCTCTCCTCAGTTGGAGTCCATAGATTCACCTATCTTCCAGTCTGCAATCCTTCTCCGTCGTTTGAACAGGACTAGAGCTGTATCCCTTGTTTCCTGTTTAGGACTGGGTTTTTGTCTCCTTTTTACTTGCTTTCACTCCCAGTTGTCCTCTGCGTCTTAATGGCATTATTTCTTGTTTGGGACGAATTAATAAGACAGAGAAACTCTCATTTGTTTAGTTTGCAGTGCAGCGTTGGGGTCTCTACTAAGGTATTGCCGATAGATCACTAGTATCCAGAGACGCAATGCAACACTTATATTCATATATATTTTGAACTCACATTTGTCATCCACCATTATTAATAATTTTATATCAAGTCATTTATATTTATCATTCAATTTCATGAGGTTTTCGACTTTAATTGTATTTATTTCTTCATAATCCTCTCGCTGTCCCATTTTGTTTCCATTTGTGTCTGTAGTGGTGGCCATGTTCGTCTGAGATAAGGCTAAAACAAACTCACTGTTTAGTAGTATGGACCTTTTTTTTTAATGTGTGCGCCTCGATGTCTCATATGAGTTTCTACATATTTTGCTTTAAGCGTAGAATTTAAATGGAGTAAACCTACCAAACCGTGTGATTCTTTTATTCTTTCTGGACGTAATCTTTATTTTCCCCCAGAAAATGCCAGCGAACGCAGTGTAAGTAGCAAAGGCATAAATAAAATGAATGTGCGTGTGTCTTTGGCCAGACCGGATAGATTACAAAACTCCTTGATGGATTCACATGAAATTTGGTACACTCTTACACGAGACACGATGAACTAATTGGAATAGCTTTAAACTTTTTTTCCGAAAACAAAGACATGACATTTGAACACTTATATTACAGATAAATAACTATGATTCGTTGTATTAATATAAGGAAAAAAACACTTGCTTGCATTATTTACATTATTCGGACTACTATCCTCATTTTAGCATATTCAGTGAAAGGCAAATAACTGAGACATCCGGAAGAGGTATGGCACGTGGAAGTAGAATAATCTAGCCCGGGGGACGAAATAAAGGGTTCGGTTCGAAATTTCACTCACCCGAAGAAGGACGGAGCGTACAACGGACGAAACGTTGTGAATATGGCAAGGAAGATGAGGATAACAGTCCGAATAATGTAAATAATGCAAGTAATCATAACACCTCATCTCAGGATATAGACAGATATTGAAAAATACTTGCTATTTCATTCACATACATTTTTCCATATAATATAATCTATATTATAATGAATTCGTTTCTGGTTGTGAGTGTATTTTTGCGCAAACATAAAAAGGTCACATGATAGAAAGGCCAATACAGCTAAAATGAATTCTTTTGAGAACTGTGCAGTACGCATGAAAGACGATGGATTCCCTTGGATGTTTCTCACGATGGCACCAGCCTTCCAGACAATATTTGATCCGAATGAAGAACGAAGTTTCTGAGAAGTCAACAAAAAAAATTTCAGAAATCCCAAAAAAAATTTCAGAAATCTCACGGAAAAACTAGGTTAAAACTCATAAAGACTTTTAGTCAGAAATTAATTCGAAATTTTAATTTGCTTCGATTATTTACACACAGGCTAATGTCCTCATCTTTGTGTTATCACAACATTTCCAACGTTGTGTGGCCTAACCTTTTTCAGGTGTCTGTTGATCAGGATAACCTTCGGGCAATTTCGAAATTAAACCTTTATTCAATCTACGGTGGGGTAATTCTCGTCATGTTGTTGATATCTAGATATTACGTTTTGTTCTTTTTGGTTTGGCTTGGTTTGGTTTACGGTATATCAATCTCAATGTTTTTATTCAAAAATGTATTACTAGTAATATTTTATTAAAAAATGTGTTGCTGTAAATGTTTGTTTTTTGTTGTTGTTTTTTTATGTATTTCTGGTGATGTTTTTTCTTTCAAAATTGTATTGCTGGCAATTTGTTTTATAAAACTGAATTACTGGTAATAGTTTTTTTCAAAAATGGACTGCTGGTAATTTTTTTTCCAAAATGTATTGCTGGTAATATTTTCTTTTTCAAAAATGTACTGCTAGTAATAATTTTTCCAAAAAAAGTATTGCTGGTATTAAAACCTATTTTATACTTTCATAGTGTTTTGACCCCTTTTGGTGGGCTTGGGACCCTAACAGGTGCTACCGCCTCGGATCAGGGTGGACCTGGGAACACCAGCAATTAAAAGGTCGTTCCACGCTACTCAAAACCTTCTGATCAAATGTCTTGCTGTTGGATGTAGTCTTACCCAGGACATTGTTCTTTTTGGTATAGCTTATGTAATGTATTACTTGTTTTTTTTCCACTGATTCCGTCTACCCGGATCAGAGATTGAACACGCAAGTCTTTAAGTTTAAACCTCTATACTATTTACTGTAGAATAATATATTTTGAGAAAGTCGTGTATTGATTTGGTTTTATTGACAAGAAATGACATGGGTTGAATATAAGAAGCTATTTCAGTGAGATTGCGTGAAAGCTTCGGGTGGTAAATCACTTAAAATGTATTACGACGTTGATTTGATGTTTGAAATAAAAAAAATAATTCGTTTTTATGATAAGCTATTCATGTTGAATTCGTGAAAGCTTTCAGTAAGAAATCAATTAAAATTTGTTTCTGTCTGAATTTATGGCATGAGGAGTTATCATTATTTACACTATTTATATTCGGACTGCTGTCCTCATCTTGGTTTTTGTTTTCAAAACGTTTCGGCTGTTGTGCTCTCCGGTCTTTCTTAGGTGTATATCAATCTGGGTAAACTACCTATCGATTTGCGTGTTTATTCAACGACAGGCTACTTTAGGATACCCAGATCGATATACACCTGAGGAAGGTCGGAGGGCACGACGGCCGAAACGCTGTTGAAAACAACAACAAAGATTAGGAAAATAGTGCGAATATAAATTGTATAAATAAAATTTATACGATATTGATTGTAAGTAAAATAATTCGGTTTTATGATAGATATGAATTCGTAGGGGCTTCCAATAGAAAATTAGATAAAAAAAAGTATCGATGGGATTTTAGTTTTGAGATGTTTGCGAGAAAAATAAGTCTGTTTTATTACTTTTATTACTATAGGATCCTCAAGTTGGATTTCTTTATATTTTGAACGAGGAAATCAATTAAAACTTGATAGACAATCCGTTTATTTAGTGTATTTATTTATTTTCGTCTACCAACTTGAACATTCGCGAAACCTTATTAGAGAAAAATACTCTTCAAATTTGTTTGACAATCGACGCATTCCTTCGTCGGGAAGTCAGGTTACGTCAAGTTTAATAATGGTTCCCTCAAAAGGACCACAGTTTCGTATCCTGACGAAGAGCTCTAATAAGTTATCTCGAATATTCCAGCTGTTAGACGAAAATAAATAAATATTCGGTTTAATAAATAAACGAAGCGTCTATTCAAATAGGAGGATGTACTAAAAATAATTTCAAGTTTGTGTTGGATAAATTATCGTGTAAAATACGCAAAAATCAAAATAACACTGACATCTCATTTTAGCAGATATATTTACCAAAATTACACAAAAATATATTGAAATACTAAAGAGCAAATTTATTCAATAAACTCGACATTTATTTCAACCACGGCCTCTGGACAATTTCAGAAGGCACTTGATGTCTGCCTCCGTTTTGAGCTTGAGACGCTCACCATCAAATCCGGGAGTTCTTTTTCCATCAGAACGATCAGAGTGAGTTTTACGAGCTGCCATATCATTAGACTCATCCACTCTTTCCGAATCCTCTGCACTGTCCATGATTTAGACCCAAACACCCTGAAATGTTCGTATTGGAGCTTCCAGCGCGAATGCTAAGTAGTACAGCATGCCGTTGCACAAATTCTGACGGAGTGAATTGATGTCATGGTGATCTTTTTCTCACAGACGGCTCCCAAATATTCCTAATATAATGTGCACTCGACAAAATCAAATACAAACAACGCGCATGCTCGAAATTAAAAATATAAAATAATGATCATTTACCCATCGAACCCTATATATATATATATATATATATATATATATATATATATATATATACACACAGGGTGCGGCTGGTATTTGAGAACATACAGATGTAAGTTTAATATTGCTTCCCACTAACTTGTAATGCTTTTATTTTTCAGAAATCAAGAATGGCAAACCCTATGATAACAAATATAATTATATTCATTTGTTCAGCAAGTTTTTTACTAATCCATAAAATATGTCCTCAAATACCAGCCGCACCCTGTATATATTGGTTTGCAACAAAAGGATTTGGTACATTATTTACATTATTGGACTATTGTCCTCATCTTTTTCGCCATATTTATTACAACGTTTCGGCCTTCTTCAGGTGGTTGGAATGTCGAACTGGAACCTTTATTTCGCTCACTGGGCTAGACTGTTCTAGTTCCACGTGCCATGTTTAATGGATGTCAGTTATCAGTTATCTCCTGTTAATCCCCCTCTCCAAGTTCGCCACTGCCTTAACCGGGTATTGAACTCACACTCTTTGGGTCCTGTCACTAGATCTAATCTAACGCCTTTATCCACTGTGCCATGTGTCCTTGACGTTCAGTTCGACATTCCAACCACATGAAGAACCCTTTATTTGGATACAAACATGGGTACATCTGTGTGTACATTATATTTTATAATTTTTAAATCTTTTTAGCCCAAGCAAGGCGATAAAGCCATTAAGACGCAAGGGGGGAGGTACTGAGAGTTAAAGAAACCGAGAAAACGTTGATGAGAAAGAGAATAATAAAAGACGAGGATTCAATATTAACAGAAAAAAATTTGCAGCTAATAACCCTCAGATGTTGCACAGATATTCTATCTCAAGTCATTTAATCGAATACCTCGTGTATCATACGAGTTTCTTTTTTGAGAGACTAAATTACAATAGACTAACCTCTTTTCCTCTATCTCTTTATCCCATCTTCTTGTTAAATAAGTTAAAAAAGTAAAAGAGAATGATAAAAGTACCGTTAGTTGTGCAAACGCCTACAGCTATAAACAACCGAACGAGAAACAGCTAAACATCTTATAAACGTAAACAATGGAAAAAGATACATTTTCGATATGTTTGTATTTTATAATACGATACTAATATGTGAATATTACATGCATTATTATTGGATACACTTAAGTAAAATATCAGTTTTATCAAAATCATGTTAATTTTAAATAAAGCTATACTTTTACTACAGTAAATGTATATAAACTTTCGTCAATGGCGTACACAGGGCCAGCAGTACATACGCTAATTTTGTATTTTGTGTATGAGGCGACCCGCTTAAAATTAGCTTTTAAATTAGGTCTTCAAAATCGCATGATATGCGAGTACATATGGTATCTATCTATCTATCTATCTATCTATCTATCTATCTATCTATCTATCTATCTATCACAGTCTGTTTAGTATTTATCAATCTTTCTACCTATCTACTGTATATATCGCGTATCATGCGACCTTTGAAGACCTCATTGTGAAGCTCATTCAACTACACTAGATAGATAGTAAGTGCCATCAGTAAATACGCTAATTTTATATCTTGTGTATGATGCGACCCCCTTAAAATTAGCTTCAAAAGTAGGTCCTCAAATGTCGACTGATGCACGAGTATATCCGGTAATTTATTCAGCGCATTTTCCGCTCTTGATCTCTAAGATGCAGCTCTTACGCCCAGGCTGACGACTGGCCGATGGCCACTTAGCACAGGTGTGTTGAGGAGAGGCGTTTCTCTTCACTGGTCAGGTTGGGAAGTCCTTCCGACTACACTCACAAGGTTTAGCCTGCAGGTCGTTGCAGCTGACAGAGGCATGGCCGAGGAGACTTCTTAGAGCCATGTGTGAAAGTTTGATGTGGGTCGTGGACCTGTACAGTTCCGCATTCAAATACACCTGAGTACTTCGATGCAAAAATATACATACCATACACCCCTACATTTTATGTTAGATTTTTTTATATATTAGAACAAAATAGGAAAGATAGAATGTAGCGCGAAAAATTGATAGCATAAGATTAAAACGATTTTTTTTGTTTAAATGTTATCAGTATTGTAAACGAAATTCTGAACACCATGATCTTAAACTGCGAAGATACTTGTGTCCGGTTTTATGGAATCCGCTTCCTCTTTAATATCTTTCTTTAATTTCCCAGGAGGTGCCTAAATGAATGAATGTTGAACGTCTTCAGCACAGCTTCGGGTCTCGCACCATTGCTTTTCCCGTGGGCCATCGAGAAATTAATGAATTCTATAGCTTATTCAAAGGCAGACGACTATTTCTGCCGCCTTGGCAAAGATGGAATAATCGTTGGCAAGAACTTAAAAACATAACTGAAGATCTTTATATATTTTTTAATTTTGTACAAATTTACTGTCCAGGAAAAAGGAAAATATGAACATATAAGAAGAGTAATAAGTTTCTAGTGCAAATAAAAATGGTTTAATATCGGATTCAGACTAAATAAAAAACTAATTTCAAGCCTGTACAACTTTTGTTTCCCGTTCTCTTAGTCAGAAATCTTTCATGAATCAATCATAAATACTTATTTTATGTACTGCGTCTTTTCAAGACGTGGGCAATCATGGTTCTCCACGACCTCCTATACTTTATAGCTCTAAGCAATGTGTATCCGCTCGTTACCACCCATTTACACAAGCTCAATCGGTAGGTTACTCACTGTTTCGTTCTACCCCTTTGTTTTCAATATATCCTATGTGTGTCAAACTCTCCAACCAATATTTCCTCATTATGCGTCACTATAGCTTTAGATAATGAAAAAAAAGGATTAAAGAATTTAATAAAATTCGTGAATGTTTCGCAATAATAGCAAAAATTGGATATTCTATTTTGAAAACTTATGTTGCTCTAGGTCCCTGTCTAATTTTGCTTCAAAGTCAAATGGTAGTGAGTTTAATTTAATATTTCGAAAAGGCTTTTTTTAATGTCAAAGTTGATTTCTCGTCCGTTTTCCTTTCTTCAGTAAACAAACGGTTACAATCAAACGTGAAAAGATTTCGCAATTTTTATTATAATATTACGGATTGAAAATATATTTTGGTATGGAGTCTTTTACGGCATATCAAGCTGAAGTAGATAAACATGCCGCCTGGTCTGCACGAGATACAAAAAGGTGGATATAGATTTGGTTTAAACGAGAGACAAAAAGGTATACAAGGATTTGGTTTATATAAGAAACAAAAACGTACATGTGATGAGTATATTGTCGCCATTTTATATTTTTAATTTCAAGCCTTATCTGTTTTAGATTTTATCGACTGCGCAGTACAATAGGGCCGTTTGGACAACGTCTGTGAGTGCTTGGGTGTCAATCTAAGGACAGTGCAGATGATTCGTAAAAAGTTGGATGAGTCCAATGGTGATTACGAAAGTGATTGGAGTGATCACTAGTGATGGCAATGTTATGCCTCCATTCATCTTCCAACAGAGCATCAAACTCAACGCAGAGGCCAACATCAAGTGCCTTGAGGAGGTAGTGCTTCTCTTGGTCAAGAGAGTGGCTGCTGGAAGGAATATGCACTTTGACACACAAATAGGAGAAACCAGTCATGGATGTCAGACAATTTATGAGAGCACATCAACCCATATATTTGGCCACCTAACTCCCCGGTATTTTTTTTTGGGGGGGGGGGGTGTTGAAAAACTGCACCCGAAGATGAAAATTAGAAATGGTTGAAAGTACTTGGTTCGTCAATTCCATCTGACAACAATTCAGATATAAGGATTGTATTATTCATGGAATTGATAGTAAGTTAATGACTTATTAAGTCTTGTTAGCAAAGAGATTTTGCCATTAATCACATTAACATTGCGAATTAATTCTTTGTAAAAAAATTATATATATTTATATATATATATATATATATATATATATATATATATATATATATATATATGATGTGTGTGTTTGTTACTGCGTTTTGTTTGGCCGAGAATCTAATAAACAGACAAGGTTTGCTTTTTGGACGGGAGTCAAAAAAGCTGAACTTATGTTTGGTTCACAATAGAATAGGAAATGTGGATAATGGTTCTGTTAACACGAGATTCAAAAAGATAGGTAGAGGTTTAGTTTTCAAGAAAGTCAGAAAGGTGGATATAGGTTTGGTTTGCACAAGAATCAGAAAGGTGGATATAGGTTTGGTTTGAACGAGAGTCAGGAAGATGGATATAGGTTATGGCTTTCAAGAGAGTCAGAAAGGTGGATATAGGTTTCGTTCGCACGAGAGTAAGGAAGATGGATTTAGGTTTGGTTTTCACGAACGTCAGAAAAGTGGAATTACGTTTGGTTTGCACAAGAGTCAGAAAAATGCATATAGGTTTGGTTTCAATGTGAGTGGGAAAGGTGGAATTAGGTTTGGTTTTCGCAAGAGTCAGAAAGGTGGTTATAGTTCAGGTTTGTACGAGAGTCAGAAAGGTGGATATAGGTCAGGTTTGTACGAGAGTCAGAAAGGTGGATATAGGTCAGGTTTGTACGAGAGTCAGAAAGGTGGATATAGTTTATGGTTTTCACGGGAGTCACAAAGGTGGATATACATTTTCTTTGTATAATAGTAAAAAAGACAGACATCTTTACTTTGGCACTGGAGTAAAAATTTTCGACCTATTGTTTGCACGAGTGTCAAAAAGTTAGAAATCGGTTTGGTTTTGACGAATGTAAAGTTAAAGGTAAACTTCCGTGCAGTATAACACTTTTCCCTTTTGTGAGAGGCTTTCTCTTTTAACCCTTGATGCAGTCGAGGTATATTTGACCTCTACCAGCAAGACATGAGTAAGAAAATATCTCGTGTATAAATAAAAAAAAACAACTTCATCTATGAAAGATGAAATCGTCTGACGAAGCAAATTTTTGTGCATCTGAAACACATTTCAATAATTCTGAATGGTTTTCATTTTTCACACCATAAATTAGTAAATGCTGCTTACTTTTTGCTTGCTACTACCCTGTCAATGACATAAAAATAAATGATGATATATCAGCTCTTAAGATTTACAACATTAAACTATTCTAACATTTAATATCTGATCTGATCATATATTTAGCTACTTGCTTCTCATGGTCTTCGAGTCGGTTTGCCTTGTCTATAGAAGAAATTAAGTTTCTATAAAGTTTTACCAAATCTTTTCTGTTTTCTTTATCTTTTAATTATTTTTTTAAAGATTATACCTTATTTATTATTTTTTATTTGTGATAAATATTCAAGCGCCTGTATTAGCATCTATGCAATTATATTTTGTACTATTATCCTTGACAAAATTAGAAAAAAGAATCCGCAATTTTATCGATCCTGATCTTACATCTCGGCTTCAGTCACTCTCCCACCACCGAAACGTAGATTCTCTGTGCCTTTTCTATAAATGCATTCATGATAATTGCTCTGATGAGCTTTCTGTTTTAGTTCCCCAACTTAATGAATTTAATTACACGACTAGATTGGCAGCTAGGTCTCATCATATTAATTTTTAAATAACTAGATGTAGCCGTAAGTTCTATTCTAGTAGTTCCTTTTCCTTTCACACTTCTTACCTGTGGAACTCTCTTGTGGCTTCTAAAATTTGAATATTATGTCAATCATCCGTCTCATTGAATCCTCAAATGCATTTACTCATGCGCCTTAGCGGCTTTATCGCCTTGATTAGGGTGAAATTATTTTATTTTAAGTCTCTTCATTCATTTTAATCAATCTTATTTCTTATTTCTCCTTCTATCACGCTATAAATTGTTATATATTTACCTTTAGAAAAAAAGAAGTCTATTTCTGCTCGATTGCGCAATTGCGTGTTTTTCAGAGCTACGTTTTACAGGGTTCCGGGGCTTATCGGGTTGCCAAGGCTGAAGGGCGTCTATCTACCCACAATTTGCATAGCAAACCCTTTTGAAGGAAGAGTTGTCTTTCTAATATACTGATTGCCAATAAAGCCTAGATATACCAGAATACCCTTCCCTTTAAATCCAAGCTGGAAGATGAAGCAGACTAATTGCATTTTCCCAAGTGTATTTGTCCGAAATATTAAATAGTAAATGTCACATGACCAGTGACCTCATAAACCTATAAGCTCTGCTGAAATTCTGAAACTTTCCAATCGTGAAAGAGGATTAAAGAGAACGCAATGAGGCAGCTGATGGCAATCCCGAAAGATGACAATAGAAATAATATTGAACAGAATGAAGACAACCCGTCCTGGGTAAGACCAGAAACTACTTCCGCGTCCTAGGTAAGACGATAAACTACATCCTCGTCCTGGGTAAGACGATAAACTACATCCGCGCACTTGGTAAGATTATAAACTACATCCGCCTCCTGGTTTATGACAATAAACCTAGTCTGACAGCAAGGCCTCTAATCCGGAGGTTTTGAGAAGCGTGGAACCACTTTTTAATTGCTGGTGTTCCCA